TTCTGGTCTGCCCGTGTGTCCCATCACTCCCGCTCTCCCCTGAGCATGTGACCCTCATGTAGTAAGCACAGAAAGGTTCTGATCTCCTTTCTTCATTTCCTGGGTGGCTTAGAATTTCCTGCCTGTAAAATAGGCTTCCTTAGCAGCTTATGTTACAGAGTTGTCTAGATATTTCAGTGAGCTGGTGGGTTAAGGTCTCATCACAGTGCCAGACGTGGCCCATAGCAGACAATCTTCCTGTTAAAGACAAGAATTCTAAAGAACATAGAGGCACAGTAACTTGCCTGAAGACACACAGCTGATGAGTAAAGGAGCCAGGCTCCGAACCTGTGTCTATATAACTTTACAACCTGAGCTTCTACCCAAGTAAGTGCTCCATGAATGATAGTTATTAGTATTATCTGCTACAAGTTTTATAGTTTGGGGCTGCAATCTTTTTAAATTGACCTGGCTGTCTTTGGACTTGTGATCCTCCTAAGTAGCTGCGATTACACATGCAGACCACTACAGGATGGCCCCTTCTGGTTGCCAGAGTTGCTTTTTGGAAAGTCCAGTCCCTAAGCACCAGAGGAAACTGGGCCCTGGCTTCTCTTGGCAGAGTATCCATACTGTGTGTACACTTTTCCTGTGTGTGTGTGTGTGTGCGCGCGTGTGTAAATGTGGGTGACACTATCTTATCCCTTCCAGCTCTGCCAGCAGCCTATAGCATTAGGGGGCAGCCACCACTGGTGAGTACAGTGGTTTTACGGGAGGAGGATCAGGGAGAAAGCAGAGTGATCCTGCAGCCATGGTGGGCCCTGAGGTCAAGACCCCATCTTGTCAGCCCCGCCAGGGTGCCACAAGGTGTCCGTGTTTATTCCCGAGAAAGTCACTCCTGAGATAAATGCATAACCATTCTTCTCTGTCGTACATTTTAATGAACTGTCATTTTGGGGGCAATGATTGCAAATTACAGATAAGAAGAGACAAGTCAGGAAAAATCAGAGGCAGTGATTAAACAGTAGAAATTCGGCCTGGCTCAGAAAAGCCGGGTTTTAAGGTCACCACACCTGCATGGGCAGGGTCTGCCCTGGCCACATCATGCAGGCACCAGCTGTGAATGCAGTCACCTACCTAAGAGGCTCCAGGCTGAGAGCTTTCCTCGGGACCCTTAGAAGGCACCAGAGGGTTTGAGGGGCCGGGCCTAAGGGCACAGCTGGGAAGTGGTAGGTTATCCTGACCCAGTACATGCTACAGGAGCTGGAGGCCCAGGAAACAGGGCCCGCCCATCTCTGGAAAGGCTCACAATCTAATTGGCCACGAAGTCAAGAAGTTATACACTATGCTTCTGCCTCAGCCTCCCAGAGAGCTGGGATCCTGCCCCTCCCAGCCGGCAAACCCTCTTTAAATGAAGGACATTTCTTGAAATCTTAAGTGGGACCCTGTGGCAGGATCAAGACAAGGGACTCTGCTTCTTCTACAGCTTGGAGGGGGCTTTCTCTTGTCTCTTACAGACCTTAAGGCACCCAGGAGCTCCCAGCCCCACTGAAAACTTGCCAGCCCACGCTGGGCATGGTGGCAGAGGCTGACGGGAGGATCTATGGACTCCCGAGTGGAGGCTCTTTGCTTTGTTTTGCTATTCTGAGACAGGGTCTCACTAAGTAGCCCAGGTGGCCCACAACTTACGGCGATCTGGCCTCAGCCTCCCTGGTGCTGGGATTACCAGGCAGTGCTGTGAGGCCTGGCCTCCGGCTCTGTGCCCTGCACTGGCCTTCCCTGGATGCCAGTGCAAAAAGGGCTCATGCCAGGTGTCCCGTGTCACAGCACCTACACCGCACAGCCCTGGCCACCTCGGGCCACGCTAACTTGTCTCCCGGGTGCCGAGCATGTTCAAAAGCAATGCTTCTACTGCCCTCAACACCAGGGCTGTTGAGAAGCCCCTTGCACGAGCCAGGAGGCCTGGGTTGAATGCCGGCTCCCAGACAGCACAGGCTTCGGTCCTGTCTGTTTCCCCACCCCTACAATGAAGTAGGTGGCTTACAATGGATTCTCCACAAGCTTCCTTCCAGAAGGGTAAGCGAGGAGCCTGCAATCTACTGGGCCAGGCCACTCTGGGTGTTGGACAGCCTGAGATCCCAGCTGAGGATAGAATCCATGCGCCCCCAACACCTCCTCTCCTTTCAGGGCTTACCCCTCCACATACCCTCACCCTGGGAAGCCCATTACCTCCTGAGCTTCCTCATGAGCACAACCTTGGGTCCTTTTTCGCTTTTATCTAAGAATAAAGGGTTCCCCAAGGCATTTGCCCAGGTTCCCACTTTACAGATGTAAGCACTGTATGTGGGGTTCAGTCTCTGAAGCAGAGATCCAGACTGACCTGTTACCACATGGAAAGTCACGTGGGGCTTCTTGCCAGGTTCTTGGTGTCTGGGGCAAAGAGTTGTCATCCCAGAAAAGGGATAACTGACCAGTGAACAGGGTCATGGTGGCCCTGAGGATAAGGGGCAGAATTCTTGTATCAAAATTCCTAGACTGGCTTCCCCATTATGAAAATAAGCGATTGGAGTGGTTGTCCATGATGGATCACGCTTGTAATCCCAGCCCTTGGGAGGCTGAGGCAGAAGGATCATTGAGAGTTTCAAACTAGCCTGGGCTTCACAGTAAGGCTCTGTCTCAACCAACCACACAATAAAACTCACAATGCCAGGTATAAACTGGCTTATGGAAAATTTTGGTTTTCCGCAATATGTAAATGAAGGATTTTTTGATTGGTTGTGCCCCCATGCAAATGAAGGACTGAAAATGGCATCTTCTGATTGGTCCTATACGTCAGATTCAGATAAGAACTGAGAACGTCGCCTTCCCATTGGTTCCTGTACAGTGCTCGGGAGCCAGGGAGTCATTTTGGGTCCGGTGTTCAGTGCATGTCCTCTGGATTTTTATGAATGTTGACATACGCTACCCAGTTAGTTGTCCTATTTGTCCCAGCCCTACCTCCTTACCTGGCACAGGACTAAACTCTGGATTCTCAACTTTTGAAAGGAAGGGGTTTTTTTGCTGAGTTTGTATAGATTAATGTTTCCTGACTACAGAACATAACAGACTGATTGCTAATACATTTTTACCCCTTTTTGGTCCTTATCTCCCTTTTCAAGAGAGAGTGGGCTGGGAGTTTAGCTCCTTCCTCAGGTGGACAAGTTTTTTAAAAAATCAGTTACAAATACATTGCTAGAATAAACTTTTATTTTTGTGTTCATTTTTAAATTTTTTGCAGTAGTAGACATTGAATCCAGGGCCTTTATACTAGGTTACAGCCCCAGCCCTTTTTAATTTTTTTATATTTGATTTTGAAAGAGGGCCTCACTAAGTTGCTACATTGCCCAGACTGGACTCTAACTTCCATCCTCCTGCCTCAGCCTCCTAGAGTGCCAGGATTGCAGCCATGCACCAATACTCCTAGCTCTGTGTGTTTATTCCAAGTTTACTTTCTATTTATAGTAACATGATGCTGAGTTTCCATTTACTACATTGACAATATTTTTTTAAAAACTCATGTAAGTAAAACAAAACATAAAATAAGAGCTGATTTAAGGAAAGCAATTAAGCAGACAGTCCTCGATGTCGGGCTATGTTCTCTGTGAGGTGGCAAAGCAGCCAAGGCCTGGAAAACTCTGGCCTTGCAGCTGGAATTTCCCTCCCAGCTGAGCATGTGTGTTGTCTCGCTGCCTACATTTTTTTAAAAAAAATTTGTTTATACTTTTGTTTTTTGGAGACAAAGTCTCACTGTGTAGTTCAGGCTGTCTTCATGGGGATCCTCCTGCATCAGCCTCCTAGTTGCTAGGATTGTAGCATCTGGCCTGCACCTCCCCAGACCCTACACCCTGGATCTGGACTCCCTTATTTCTCTGCACGCTCCTGTTGCTCCTCGACCCCAGGACACCGTATACAACAACCAGCTTCGGTTAGCACAGGACCTGGTGGGCTCCCGGCCTCTCCTTACCAGCTGCAGGAGTGTGGATCCCTTGTCCTTTTCCACATTCCGCTAGAACTTTCTCTTGCTTGCAATGGCTCACTGAAGAGCTCTTCCTCAGTTTACCTAGTGACTCAGTGTGCTGGCTGAAGTGACGGACGTCTCCTAAGTCCTCAGAGGGACATACAGTTTCCAGCAAGGTAGGCATGGAAAGGTAGCAACTTCCTGCCCCTCAACTCTGCCCTGCGGCCTGAGACCAGGACATAATTCATATTCAAGCCCGGACAGTCACTCACGCCTTAGTGAGAACCAGTTGGTCAAAAGGCCTCCTTCGGAGTTTATGTTCCTGTGAGAGCCTGGGACCCACAGTGGCCCTTCAGAGTGGCCAAGGGAAGAGGAATGGGCCACGTGGCCGCCTCTCATCTCATCTAGGCAGCTACCAAGCGTCCGCTGGGTTGTCTGCTTTATCTGCGGGGCTGTGGGTTTTGTCTGGGCCAGGGCCCAAAGCTGAGTAACAGAGAAAGCTCGGAGGTTGAACGCCTCAATGAATCATGGGACAGGGGCTGCGAACCCTAAATCTGCGATCCCGGAGGATGGGGTCCGGCTCCTCCTCCTTGGAGCGCAGTGGTCGCCAGTCTTCTGAAGCCAAAGCGGGACCCTGCGCAGGCCCGCAAGATCGCCAGGGGGATCTCCGTCCCCATCGGTCCTGCAGTCGGCCGGAGGCTGGCGGGGGTGCGTCGCGGGAAAGTTCCCGGAATAAATCCTCGGTTAGAGCGCGCCATGCCCAGGCTCACTGTACGTCTTCCGAATTGAGGAGGGGCGTGGGGTGGGCTCGGGGTGCAGATTGCGGAGGTGGGCGGCCTCGAGGGCCCCCAAGCCAGGTCTGGGTGCAGCCAGCTGAGGAGGGGAGAGGCGAAGGCCTTCCCGGCGGCCAACAGGGTAACAGCGCGGCCGAGCCCGCCGGGAGGAGATTGGGGGGCCGTGCAGGGGGCGGGCGCGGGGCGGGGCCTGGAGGTCGGGGGCGGGGCCGGGCTGCGGCGGCCGCCGGCGTCTCGGCTCCAGGCTGCGCGGCGGACGCAGCGCCGAGCGATCGCCGCCGAGCCGCGCGAGGCCGCCCGAGCGGATCCCCAGCCCCGGCCGAGCGCGCCCGCTCCGCCCCCGCCGCGGTCCCCGGTCACGTCTTCGCTGCCGGGCACGAGTTGCGCGCACCTCTGCACCGGGAAAGTTTCCCCCGCGGCCGCCTGTGGAGTTGGCGGGGTCCGGACGCCGAGGTAGGTAGGGTCCCCGCCCCCCGCATTTCCCCGGTGACCCCGTCCCGGCGCTGCGCGCTGCCCTGAAAGTGCGCGCCCCGGAGGGATGGGGTGCAGGTGGCACGGGGGTCTCTGCACCGTCCCGGGAAGCGCAGGAGCCAAGTTCTGCTTAAACTAGCATGGGGAGGTTGGGGTGCCGGGAAGACGCGCCCCCTCGCCCGGATCCACGCGGGCCGGCGGGCCCGGGACAGGTGCAGCGCCGCCCTGGCGCCGAGCGGTCGCGATGGACACTGGCTCAGGATAGTGGCCGGCGGCGTGGCAGGTGGGGGTTCGAGATTCAGCGATCGGCAAGGGCTGTGTCCGGAGGGACGGTGCACCCCGGACCACCTCCTAGGGGCCAGGGTAGGAAGCCGAGCCGGAAGCCCGCGGGGAGGCGGTGGCGCCAGGCGGGGACCCTGATCTCGCGCTGCCTGCGGGGTCCCTGGCGGCGGGCGGGGCGGGAGCACCGCGCCTTCTCCCGCGCTGGTTCTTCCCCGCCGTGTGTGTGCAGCTCGGGGTCACGGAGGCTCTGGGGGTGCCTGCTGGATCTGAGGTTCAGACCTGATCGATATAAGAGTGGATCGAGGAGGGAGTCCGCGGGGAGGAAGGGAGGCCGGGCTCGGTGGGTTCGCGCCGGCTCCGGGTCCCGCTGGAACGAGGGAACTTGGCACCGCCAGGGGGCGTGCTACCCGGCTGTTCGGCCGCGAAGGCGAGCGCTGGGTCCTCGCCGGCGACCGCCCAAAATTCCGGATCACAAACCACAGACCCTCACCCCTACCCTGATAAACACAGGGTCCGCCGGGAGGGGCACCCTCGCGTCGCCCCTTAAGAACCCTGAAGAGGCACCCAGAGGAACCTTCCTGGAAAGACAGCTGGAAAGACCGGCTGTCAGGAGGTGGGTTTTGTTGGGGGGGGCAGCTGACAGGGTGCAGAGAGGAGTAAAAATTCACTCCTGAGGGGTGGGGGCAAAAGACTGTAGCCCGGAACAGAGAATCGGTGTGGAGAGTGTGGGCTGAAACCTTAACTTTTCGGGGTTTCCTGAAGTTGCCAAACCCAAATGTGAAATGCACCAGGTTTCCAGGACCTGGCCCATGAATACATGTGGTGGGATAAGCTTTGGGGTACACCCACTCTTACCCATCCTCTTGGGGCACAAACTGAGGGCACAGGGTGGAGAGAGGGGCTCCCAGTGGAAGTGTTGAATTTCTCAGCCCTCTTCCCCGTCTTGGGTCTAGGGTCTCTGGGCACTCTGGTCTGGTCACCTCGAAGGTACTGGCGGGAACCTGTCCTGGGTCCCCATGGCCTCACCTGAGGCCCTCTCCGTGTTGAATCGGGGTATCTGAGCTTTGGGAAGGAGAAGTGGCTACTGGCTTCTGTGAAAAGAGTGATTTTTGTCATGTGCAGGGCTGTTGGGTATGGAAGAGCCACGCTGGTGAGATCTACCTCTCCTTTTTTTTTCTAATTCCTCTTCCCTGAGCCTCCAGAGAACACAAAGCGCCGAGCAGAGGGAGGTGAACGTCCTGTGGCTGGTGGAAGTTTTCACTCCCCAGGCTTGCAGTGTCGGTGCCCCTCCCCCTCCTGCCTACCCTCCCCCTCCCGTGCCCTCGGGGTCCCCTGCAAAGGTGGTAGAAGTGGGGCAGTCCCTAAGAGAGAGCCGGATGAGGTTTCTGCAGTCTCCAAATGTTTTTGTTGGATGAAACCAAAATGCTCCGGGACCAAGTTGCTACTGGAAAGATCAGCAAGCTTATGAGTTTGAATAGGAGAGGGGGAGGAGGAAGAGGAGAGAGGAAAGGGTGGGGAAGCCGCCTTGTCTCTGTATTTGTCTTTAAGACATTCCAGGGGGCTAGAAAACAAAAGGAGTGTTTTTTTTGGGTTTGTTTTGCTTTTAGGGGCTCTCTTTTTCCTGCAGCCAGAAGCCTGCCCGAACAGCCCAGCCCTTGCCGCCCAGGCTGTGTGTCTGCCCTACCCCACCCCACCAGGGCTGGCAGCTTTCTGGATTCTGCCCCTTGTCTCTGTTCCCCAGCCACACCCCACCTGTGCCAACAGGAGAGACTTCAGGCCCCTCCAAATGTCCCGGTGTGTGTGGCAAACTCCCAGAGGTCTGATTCAGCAGAATTTCAAGTCTTTGGGTGCTGTTTCCTCATCCCCCCCCCCCACAAAGCCCAAAACGGGAGTCAATTGGTGAAAGCTCTGGGCCACATCCTAAGAAACAGAGGTCACTCTCCGCATGGGTGGAGGGCATCTGGGTGACTTCAGGACAAACCCTTGGCTCTGAAAAAAATCCCGTATCAACCTCAAAGTGGCTCCTTGAGTTTCTGAATGCCAATTTAGTGATCTGGGAGTGGGTGAGAGGCCAGGGTGATGGTGGGGGGCTGGGACAGTTTGGGAGGTGGCATTGAGGCAAGAGATTATGGGGATTTGTTGGAAGGGGATCTGGGTAATGGTAGGACAAGCAGACTTGACATCCTGCTTTCAGATCGCCCCTGTGGCCTGGGGAGAGTCACTTCCCCCTTTGACTCTGTCTCCCCATTCTGTAAATGAAGGCCTTGAGACAGATGGGCCTTGCAACCTGAAGTCAGGAGTCTCACCTTAGGGTGCTGGCCAGCCCCTCTGGGTCCTGCCTTTGGTCCAGCAGAGGATGCCTGTCCTGGCTGGCTAGCCCTTCTTAGCAGAGTTTCAGCAAAGCTCCAGCTTGGGAATGTTGTGAATTCAAACCCAGTTCCTACAGTCTTTTGGCTTGCATAGACAAAACATTCAGCAGTTTTGGGCAGAGAGGGACATGTTGGTGGCCAGTTTCTGCTGGGAGCCCCGTGTCTGTCTGCAAACTCCTCTCTCTAGACACTTGACAAGTCCCCACCCTTCTCAGGCAGAGCCAGTGTTGGGGGGACTGGACTGCACATTTCAGGGACACTTCCCTCCGGTGGGTGGCTCTTTTGGCCCAATTTCATCAGCACGGAGAAGGGAAATCAGGAACATTTGTTCATGCTCGGCTGGGAAGCGGCGAGGGGAGGAGGGGGCTTGGAAACCATCACTTTGGTCCCACGGAGCAGATGATGCTGGCCGATCTGCAACCTGATGCCACTGAGCTCACATGCCAGCTTGGGCTCCTCCTGCCTCCCGGGCTGGCACCTTGGACCCACATCAATGCTCCGTGTGATGGAGTGGGGGCCCCTAACGAGACTCTTGGAACAGAGAGGCACAGTGAGGTGAGGCGCCCCTGGGTTTGCATCTGGCAAATGGGGCTTTCATCTGGGCCTTGTTATCTGATAATCTGGCCTGTGCTTTTCTGCACCCAAGATCGTTGGGCTAATTAGCGCGTTAAGCAGCTTGGAGATGAGCAGGAACTTGCTCCCTGGCTGGGGGCGTGGATGTGCATAAGGACAGGCAGTGATGAACCGAAAGGCCCTAGAATGAGGACATGGTTTCCAGCCTTGGACCTCTTAACAGATACAGCTGCAAAAGCTTGGCTGAGTCCCTGCCCCTCTCTGAGCCTCAGTTTCCCTGTTGCTTTGGAGGAATTATTGCACAGTGGTTAGACTTCCCGCGTTCCAATGTTGGCCATCCTACTCTTCAGTTTTGTGACCTTAGACCACTGAACCTTAGTGCCTCCATTTCTCATCTGTGAAATAGACCTGAATGAGCTCAAACTTGGAAAACACAGAGCCCAGCACATAGTAAGTGCTCAATTTTGGTTCTTGCTGATATCCTGAGGCAGGCTGTTGTGCTGAATATCAGCCTTGGGTGAATGTGCTGCTTTCTGGGGCCTTATCCCTTCCCCAGCTCCCTTGAGGTTCCCTTCCTGAGTCTTGTGACTGGTCTCCTGTAGCCCAATCCCGGTGGCAGGAAGCCCAGGCTGACGTCACCAAAAATACCCTGGTTTCTGGCACTGGAGGGATGATATTTCATCAGCCAGTATTTGCCCTCTCCCCTCCACGCTTTGTTTCTCCCTGTGCTGTAGTATGAACACCATATGTGCAGATCATAAGTTTAAGCGGATCGACAACTCCCGGATTCACCCTCAGCAGGCCACCTTCCTCAGGGACACTTTGGAGTTTCAAATAAGCAGTCGGGTGCAGGGGTTGTGCTGCTTTATCTCTGGCTGGCCCCACTTCCCTCTTTATGTTCTGTCCTCGGTCTGCACAGGGGTGTGGCCTGGGCCAGGTCTGTGGTCCAAGGCTTTGGGCTTTATCAGTGGTCTGGGCTGGGGCATCCTCTTCCTGTTTGTTTGGGAGGGCACCGGACAGGCTCTTCTTCCTCCAAGAAAGCTGTCGCCTAGAGCCATCCCTGATGCTCCTCAGGGGACGCTGGAGTAAGGGATATTGTCAGTTCCACACATGTAGCTGTTGATACCTTTATAGATGACAGTGAAGCTCAGAAAAGTGGAGTTAGCAATGGGACTGGGATTTGTTCCTTCCCTGCTCCCTAAACCAGTTCCTGATCCTTCCTCTTATATCCAAGCCCCTGGGAGCCCCGGATTTTCAGGAAAGCTCCCCAAGATGTGGCCATCTCTCTCCCCCATGCTTCTGATCATTAAGGGATTCAGGGCCACCCCAAACCCCTCTTTGCACCCTGGGGATGAGGTGGGGGTTAATGGGGTGTGTTGCTGCCCGGGATCTGGATTTGAATCTTGTTGCTGCCACCTGCTGTTCTGTGGCCTGGGGTTCCTGGTCTGAAAACCCGAGTCTGTGTATAACATCAGTGATGCTGTTGAGCTCAGTAATGTTAGCAGTCACACAGGTGGCCCCAGGACCTCAGTGGCTGGACAGCAGCTTACAGTGCTGCTCTAGCCTGGGGTCTGGCCACACAGACTCAGGCTGATGGTGACTTCTCTGGAACTCTTTGTGATTGTTCCTTCCAGAGCCTGTGACATCAGGGTTACTGCAGGAGGGGATGAGGGAGAGGGGAAAGCCACCCTGCACTCCATGCATCAGCCAAAAGGTGACAGGTGTACCTTCAGTTCGAGTGCATTGGTGAGAACTGCC